GGGGGTGACGATGGTATCTGAGGGGGGTTTGGGGTCACCGCAGGCTCTGCTGGTGGTGGTGGCGGCGGTGGCATCATCTCCAGTTGGCTCTGCGGTGGGATCGACGCCGGCTGTGCCGTCAGGCGAGGCTCCGGTGGTTCCTCCGATGGCTCCTCCGATGGTTCCTCCAACAGTGGGTCTGATGGTACCTCTGGTGTCAGTGCCACCTCCGATGGTACCAATGGTGTCACCTCCCATGGTGCCACCTCCAATGGTGTCACCTCCAGTGGTGTCTCTGATGGTTCCTCTGATGGTTCCTCCATCGGCTCCTCCGATGGTGTCACCTCCAGTGGTTCCTCTGATGGTTCCTCCGATGGTTCCTCCGATGGTATCATCTCCAGTGGCGTCTCCGATGGTTCCTCCGATGGTTCTTCTATTGCTACCTCCGATGGTTCCTCCAATGGCTCCTCCGATGGTGCCATCTCCAGTGGCGTCTCCGATGGTTCCTCTGATGGCTTCTCCGGTGGTTCCTCCCATGGTTCCTCCATTGGCTCCTCCGATGGTGTCACCTCCACTGGTGTCTCCGATGGTTCCTCCGATGGTTCTTCTATTGCTACCTCTGATGGTCCCTCCCGTGGTTCCTCCCTTGGTTCCTCCGATGGTTCCTCCAACCCTACGCCCGGTGGGACCTCCAACAACATCTCTGGTGATGTCCCCGGCGGCGCCGCCGGTTGTAGCTCTGGTGGTGGCGGCACCTCTGGTGGTGGCACCTCTGGCGGCCGTCGATCTGGTGGTGACACCTTGGGTGACGTCTCCGGCGGTACCTCTGCTGGTTGTACCTTTGGTGGTTGTAGCTCTGCTGGTTGTCACCAGGCCGATGGCACCTCCGGCGGTGGCACCTCTGGTGGTGGCACTTCTGGTGGCCATGGCAGCACCGACGGTGCTTTCGGAGGTGTCCATCACAACCGCGGTACCTCCGGCGGTCGTCACCGCGCCGACGGTGTCCATCATGGCGGTGGCATCTCCGGTGGCTTTGGACGCGGCCCTGGTGGTGGTGGTGGCACCTCGGGACCGGGTGACGGTGACATGTTGGGAGCGGGTGTTGTTGGTGGCAGCGCCTCTGGACCTGGTGACGGTGACAGCTTTGGGTGTTGCGGAGGTGACGGCGGGGGTGGACGTGGTGACGGCGGCACCTCTGGGCCTGGTGGAGGTGACACCGACGGAGGTGACACCAATGGTTGGGGTGACATTGGTGGAGGTGACATCAGTGGAGGTGACACTGATGGTTGGGGTGACATCAGTGGCAGTGACATTGGTGGAGGTGACACCGGTGGAGGTGATGCCAATGGTTGGGGTGACACCGATGGAGGTGACATCGGTTGAGGTGACACTGGTGGAGGTGACACCAATAGTGGAGGTGACATCGGTGGAGGTGACACCGATGGTTGGGGTGACACCAGTGGAGGTGACACCAATGGCTGGGGTGACACCGATGGAGGTGACGTTGGTGGAGGTGACACCAATGGCTGGGGTGACACCGATGGAGGTGACGTTGGTGGAGGTGACACCAATGGCTGGGGTGACACCAGTGGAGGTGACATCGGTTCGGGTGACACCGATGGAGGTGACACCGATGGTTGAGGTGACATCGGTGGTGGTGACATTGGTGGAGGTGACATTGGTGGAGGTGACACTGATGGAGGTGACATCAGTCGGGGTGACACCGATGGAGGTGACGTCGGTTGGGGTGACACCAGTGGAGGTGACACCAACGGCGGAGATGACATCAGTGGTGGTGACATTGGTGGAGGTGACACCAATGGTTGGGGTGACACCGATGGAGGTGACGTCGGTTGGAGTGACACCAATGGAGGTGACACCAATGGCGGAGGTGACACCAGTGGAGGTGACATTGGTGGAGGTGACACCGACGGCGGAGGTGACACTGGAGGCCCTGCAGCGGGACCTGGTGGCGGTGACACCCGGTGGCACGGCGGTGGGACAGCGGTGGCAGCGCCGTGGCTTCTTGCAGGGCGGTGGCGCCGCGTTGTCCCCATAAGTGTCCTCCTGGTGGCACCCACGGGTGACATCGTGGCCGCGGCGGCCATCTTGGTTGTCACTATGGCCAACGTCTTGGTGGCCACCGTGGCCGCCATCTTGGTTGTCCCCTTGGGTGCCATCTTGATGGCCACCGTGGGTAACACTGTGGCCATGGCCGCCATCTTGGTAGCCACCATGGCCGCCATCTTGGTTATTCACATAGCCACCATCTTGGTTGCCCCTGTGACCAAAATCTTGGTGGCCACTGTGGCCGCCATCTTGGTTGTCCCCATGGCCACCATCTTGGTTCTCCCTCTGACCAACATCCTGGAGACCACCATGGCTGCCATCTTGGTTGTCTCTAGGGCCACCATCTTGGTGACCACCATGGCTGCCATCTTGGCTGGCCCTATGGCCAACATCTTGGTGGCCACCATGGCCGCCATCTTGGTTGCACCCATAGCCGCCATCTTGGTTGTCCCCATGGCCGACTTCTTGGTTGTCCCTGTGGCTGCCATCTTGATGGCCACCCTCTTGTTTATCCCTATGGCCACCATCTTGTTGGCCACCATCTTGTTTGTCCCCATGGCCGCCATCTTGCTTGTCCCTAAGGATGACCTCTTGGTGGCCACCACGGGCGCCATCTTGGTGGTCCCCACGGCTGCCCCCTCTGCCGGGACCCTCCTGGCGCCGCTCCTCCATGGCCCCCCTGCAGACACAGCGCCTGTTTGCACCAATTCTGCACCATTCGACCCCAATTTGCACCCGGAGGGATGCAATTTTGGGAAGGGGGGAAGAGCCACACAATTTGGCA